ACGGCTAAAAGGACGACCATGTTTGGTGGGACGGGGATTCGAACCCGCGACCCTCAGATTGCGAGTCGAACGCCCTAACCACCTGGCCCAAGTATGAAGAAAACAGATCAAAGTTCTGTCAAACCGTTTAGTATGTTCCACCATCAATAAAACTCTTCCTTATGCTTATAAATCATTGTTTACCTACCTATTATTAAGAATGTTTTTAAATATTCGGTACGTCTACAGGTTGAAATAAAATACTCGCATTGTGTCGGAAATAAGATTCGGAGGAGCAAAAAAAACTTATAGGTTAGATAGGCAGAATGGTAAATTAAGTCAAACCAGAATTGCTACTATGAAACAATCCAGAAGAACTATTACAAAAGAATATAAGTTAACTAATTTTTGAATGTTATTTAAGTAAATAATAATAATAATCATATCACGAAAGGTGCATTATTTGTTGATTATAAATTATACATAGTCTTGAATTTTTTATAAACTTTATATTAAAGGTACATTTTGGCCGCGATAAGCCACAAAACACGCTTTGCACTTTCAGCTATTGGGGCATTATTTGTTTATGTGACGAAACTACCAAGGCTCTCTGTCACCATTCTTAATTCTGTCCTGCCGAGGACAGAGAAGGAAACCGTCCGGCAACGCCACGGTCAAAACTTGGGCTACGTTTTACAAACGAATAATGGGACTTACAAACACGTTATAACGCCTTTAAAGCTGAAAGGACGAGAACGTTTGGGGCTGGGTTTAGAGTCCGAAAGTCGCGCACCCTAACCATCAGGTCATGAAAGACCAGGGGTGTTACGTGGCAGTAAAACAAGTTACTCTCCCCCCTGGCTAGCATTTCTAAATTAACGATGGATTTTAGCATGTGTCGCATAAGATGTTGTTCAACTAAAAACAACACTACACAACTCTTAATCCCTCTTTTGGATAAAATAATCCAAATTGTTATTGTCTGATTTGGTTAAGTTTTAAAGTATGCGATAAGAAGTTTGAGTTTAATATATTTAACATTTTCTGTTGGAGCTATGTCGATTCTCTTTTATTATTTTTTTTTGGGGGGGGAGGAGATGAAATACTTGCTTACAAAATATCTTGAAAGGCGATCCCCCTGTGGTAAGTCTTATGGCTTGTACCGCTAAAAATCAGTTTTCGATACCCGCAGTTGGTAGAGCACAGATACCTCATTATAAACAATCCACGGTGCGTTTTATAAGCTTTTCTGTTTATATAACTTTAACGATTTGAAATAAAAATTTAACGTTACAGATTTGCGTTAAAAGATAAACAAATTTCGTATTTTAGAATAAAACGTTTAACAAAATTAGCAGAAATTTTCAATAGGCCATTAAATAAGCTTATTTTAACTTTATCCATAATTTCGAAGTTCTACCTTACTTCCGATTCAGTTCTTTAAAACTCAACCGAAATCACAGAACTATTTTTTTGTTGTTCTTTTCAGTGATTCGTTTGATAAGATGTCTCCGAGTGTAAAAAAAAAAAAGAATAAGAAATTAGTTGGCAAAAAAAAATATTCTCGAATAGATTGTGCCACGTGCATCTAAAAAGTTTCATTTGTTACATAGACGTGATGACTAACGCTACTTTGCAAATCTGATCAAAACTGTTGCTATCAGAATAAAAACAAAAACACTGAGCACAACAGATACTGACATAAAAATCATGTCGATAATATAGTACGGTTCGCACGTTAACTTTTGAAACAATAATTATACACGAACAGCATTTTATCTTTTTCTCAGACTATTTTTAGACACGCTATCGAAGTATCAAGAGTACAATGTCCGCCTAGTGTAATACATAAATTCTCATGCTAGGCTTAACTAAGTCTATGACAGATTCATAGAATATGATGCTCCGACAGCTAGTCATTTGTTGAATCTGTGGCATCTCTGGAATACAACTACTTTTATCTATTTATATTGGAATTAAAGTTACAGTTCATGGAAATTCACATCAGTATAGTGTTGTGGAGATTTATAAGCCTACTTAGCCACTCTCATTGTGATTCCAAGGTTACTATTATGTTACCACCATCTAAAGTTTTACACGTGTCTTTTAGTACTTCGTAGGACTCGCATACATCACGCTGGAATTCTTATCATGGAACTAACAGTTAACACCGCTAGTTATAAATTAATTGATAGGTTCACAGAGTAATCAAATTACATTTGTTTTCTTCTGATGTTCTTATTCGTTATCAACATGTATAGAATAGTGATTTTTAATCCAGGTATAATAAGACTATTGTGTGAATAAATTACCAAAGTTCCAGCTTTAAGGGAAATTTATTTCTATATAGAATTATAAACAGACGTTTCTCTACGTCTTAAACAACAAATTCTATTTCTGTTACATAATTCATGTGCATACACTATACAGTATTTTATGTTGTTTCCAGGCTAAATTTAAACTACGCATGCTTAATCTTGTGCATTCTAAGGAAACATGATAACTTTAGGCTTGAACCAAAATAAAATACAGTAATTAATATTAACTTACGATCAAGTTCAGCTACTTACTTTGAGTGAAACTATATTTTTTATCGAATTGGCATAAGAATATTTGCATAGGTATTTATCGTTCAGTTACAACTCTGATTATCGCATTTAGCATCTATGTAAAGACTTGGTTTAGCATACATAAAAGAAAAAACAGACTTTGAAACAAAACATTCTACCCAAAGAACGTACATAAAGATATTAATTTCGACATTATTTTAAGAGGACACGTGTCGAGGTTGGTAACATAAAACAAGTCTCTTAGATACAATATATTTTATTTCAAGTGTGGTTTTTTTTCTTAAATATCAGTGTTAAACATAAATTTTTTTATTTCTTCACTCATTTGCTTCAACTATGAAACTAACATCCTGATTGGTGGTTATTTTAAGAACTCGTCTCAATATCACTATCATTAGGCCTAGTTACTTCGTCCAAACATGTTAATTTTCATCTGTATTTACTTGACATATATATATGTTCTTTAATGGAAAGCATGTCATTTCTACATCGATAACTCATTAAATTCATTTGTTCATCGAAAATGTTCAAGGTGGTTATAAATACAAGGGATATAAAAAAAGCAAATATGCGTGCTTTATGATTCTGTAGTTGTGAGGTCGGAAAAGTCGAGAATTAAAAATGTACAATTAATGAGTGAACTAGATTAGCAGTTGACTTATGAATGACAAATCACTTGAGAAAACAAGTCTATTAAAAAATAAAAGATAAGTTAAAGAAGTAAAAAAGAAATAGACGAGCGAGTCCGGAAGAGCTTGAAATTGTTGATTAAAATGGGAGTGAATAAGTAAAGGAGGCGAGTTATTTAGTGGATGAGGAAATTAGAGAGTGAAGGGCAAGAAGAAGAAGAAGATTGGGTTATTTCAATAGAAAGAATTAGAGAGGTATTTTACAAACTTGTAAAAAGTAAACGTCAATATATAATTGTTTAGCAATTTCAGCTATCAGAGGAATCTAGTTCACGATCATTCTACAAATAAACAATGAATAAAATTTGAAATGTGTAAATAAGATCAGGTAAAAAGAACAGAAAGCAGATAACTTAGACGAGACTGATGAGTGAATTAGTTTGAATACTTTCTTATACATTAAAAACAAATCTACAATGAAGTATTAATGTCTGACTACAGCGATACTGTAATGCCACATATAATATTACAATATTTCAGGGATAAACATCGAGGAAAATTTACTTACCACAAGACAACTACAACACAACACAAGCAGCACCTTTTAAGGTCTTGTCTGATTAAAGCGACACTGAACTGCCACAAATGATATTACAATATTATAGAGATAAACAAGGTGGAAATTTTACTTACCACAAGACAACTACAACACCAACACAAGCAGCACCTTTCAAGGTTTTGTCTGATTAAAGCGACACTGAACTGCCACAAATGATATTACAATATTCCAGAGATAAACAAGGAGGAAAATTTACTTACCACGAACAACTACAACAACAGCACCAACATAAGCAGCACCTTTTAGGGTCTTTTTCCCGGCCAGTGCCGTTTGTCATGGGACTTTCTGTTTCTTCTAATGATTTCTTTTTACTGGAGATCGCTCTGTTGTTTCGCATATAAGTGGCGCTGCTGTCGCTGCTGGTCCCTCCAATTGAATCATTCTTATAACTACCCTTCCTGTAGGTCGTATTGAAGCTCGTGCAAGGAGCGTCCGCCGTGGATGGTGTTTCCACCATTCTGCTATGAGTATCCGTTTTTTCAATACTAACCAAACTAACGCTACGTTGACTAAAAGTTCCCGGATTTGGAAGAACAACACTTCCACTACGAGCGGTGCTACTGGATGGAGAAGCTGTTCCAGACGTGATGATCTTTTCCTGAGCTTGAGCTCCGACGCCACCATTTTGCTGTTGAGGACTACCAGAAGTTTGTTTCTCACTACTTACATCATTTGTGGCGCTTCCTGTGAAATCAAGTGATACTCTGTGTTGAGATCGGTTAACAATGGCCCCTATGATATTACAGGGTATTGTGTTATTACTTCCGGTATCGGAAGTTACGGTAGTAGTAGTAGTATTGGCTAAAGGTGTTGGGGATGATGGTGTGCTCGTTCTTTCTTCGATTCGTCTTGGAGAATCCTGAGTATTTGACATCTGGAAGAAAATTTCATTGTCAGTAATATACTTATTTAAGATGCAGAATATACTAAGAATATCATCCACATGAAATAAAGTACAAATTGAATTTTATCGATCTAAATCATTAAATACAAAATACTTATCTGAAATTCTTAATCCGCTGATAAATAATACTAACGTTATCTCCATAAGCATCGTTTTGAAGTATTATATGTATTATTATTATTATTAGGTATTATACCTTTAATACCATATCTGAATCCCTGAAATACATTTATATTGCAGAGCACAATTTATTGTTTATATTAATATTGTGGAGCAAAATATGATAATTTCTCATGAGAACTATCCTTCAAATCAGTGAGAGCGTCAAAGACGTGGATAAAATAACAGTATTCTAAAAGGGACATATAACATATGGTGTTTGGAAAAGTCAATGCATTGGTAGTATTATAAAGTGTGGTACATTGTTAGTGATGAGAATAATGTATTTAGTATAATACTGGTGACGTTAAGAACAATAATAACTATGAGAACAATGGTAAAGTTTAGAAAAATAATAGCGATGGGAGTAACGTGTATTATTGGAGATATAAGAACAATGGTAATATTAGAAAACTTAAGTAAAATAATAGCGTTTACATTTTGACACTAGTTGGAAAGAGTAATTAATACACTAATAGTTTTAATAACCTGGGGATGTATTTTATTGTAGCAAAGCCACATCGAGCTATCTGCTGTGTCCACAATAGAAAATCAAACCTATGAATTTAGCGTTGTAAATCCAAAGACTTATCGCTGTCTAGGTATAGTGATTATTTCAATAATAACGAGTGCAGTGATAGTTCTAAGAAAGAAAATTACAGTGATTGTATTACAAAATTGTGAAAAGTATCATTTTATGTGTACGAGTTATAATTTTGTACATGGAAGTCAAAACTTGATTCACCATTTGTCACTGTGTTATAATGGTTTCGGGGAACTTCACCCCTCATCAGCAACCTGGACAAGATCAATTCGAAAGAGCAACGGAATTATGCAAAAACATAGAAAACTTCATAGAAACAAAGTATTTCTTTTTAAACTTAAGTTTTCAAACCAACAAAAAAAAAGCACCTGCCACCTATCTATGCAATAAAATATCATTAAATTGTCAAAGTAGTGATCATGGCGTAATTTATTAAGTTGTCAAAAGTACTGATCATGGCGTAATTTATTAAGTTGTCAAAAGTAGTGATCATGGACAAATTTATTAAGTTGTCAAACGCATTGATCATGGCATAAGTTATTAAGCTGTTTTTGTTTGTTTGCTTGTAATTAAGCATAAAGCCACTCAATGGGCTATCTGTGTTCTGCCTACAACGAATATCAAAACCCGATTTCTAGCGTTGTAAATCCGCAGACATACGCTGTGCCACTGGGGGGGGGGGGCATTAATTTGTTAAAAAGTAATGGTCATGGAGTAATTTATTAAGTTGTAAAATGTAGTAATTATGGAGTAATTTGTTAAATCGTCAGAAGTAGTGACTATGGTGTAATTTACTGTGTTGTGAAAGTAGTGATCATGGCGTAATTTATTTGAGGAAAGTGGTAAAAATACATCATGTACTTTTTTGTTTCTTCTTTTGACGAATAAAAGTGCTAACGTGAAGCCAACTTGAATTAATCTCTGGTTGCTTGTTGTTTGTTATTAAGCACAAAGCTACACAAAAGACTATCTGTGCTATGCCTACCACGGGTATCAAAACCCGGTTTCATCCATTAATCTGTGTAACAAACGCTTAAAACATTTTGTCGACAAAATGGTTTGATAAACAGTTTGTTTTCTTAGACAAGTGTAGGAGTATTAGAGAAAAACAAACGGTGTTTTATTGTTTGTTTTTTATTACTTGAAAAATAAATTTCATGAACCAACTATGAGGAGCAAGAAGAGTACTGGTTTTAACTCCCCTTCCGGAGTTAGTTTATATCGTTGAGCTTTCTACGATCTATGAGGAGTAAGAAGAGTACTGGTTTTAACTCCCCTTCCGGAGTTAGTTTATATCGTTGAGCTTTCTACGATCTATGAGGAGTAAGAAGAGTACTGGTTTTAACTCCCCTTCCGGAGTTAGTTTATATCGTTGAGCTTTCTACGATCTTCTTCTTCGGGAGAAACGGTTTTCAGCTAACTTGAACATACAACGTATTTTCTAACGTTTTCTTCTACGGTAAGGTTTTCCAACAGTTTAACAATAACTTTATTGCAGCACACGTGATGAGTTCTAATCAAATTACGTTTCCATAAACATAAATTATATCTAAAAATAACAGGTTGAAGGGTTTTGATAAGACATATTGTAATTTATTTTTGCTGACAATGACTTCTGGTGGGAGAAATAAACAACATCTAGTATGTTGCATTCATTTGGAAATTACTCGAGTTTTGATAAAACTGTGCAATATTGGGTGATTGTAATATACACTAGAAACTTCACTGCTATAGGCTTAACGAACTTTATGTATATTTTTAGTTCTGAAAAGTTTGTAAATATGGTATCTTCGAAATTTATAGGTTCTTTCTGCCCATTTCAGTATACAGTCCAAGAATCTCCTTCCGCGATGTTTTTGTTATATATTTTTTTGGTAAAACAGAGCACTTTAATTTCAAATCGATTTGTCATGTTGGCCACAATGTAAAGCAGCTTTAATAATTATATATATTCTTTCTTTTGTTTGTTTGTAATTAAGCACAAAGCTACACAATGGGCTATCTGTGCTCTGCCCATCACGGGTATCAAAACACGGATTCTAGCGTTGTAAGTCCGCAGACATACCACTGTGCCACTGGGGGCTATTCTTTCTTTATGGTTTTTGAATTTCGCACAAAGCTACACGAGGGCTATCTGCGCTAGCCGTCCCTAATTTAGTAGTGGAAGAAGGCATCTAGTCATCACCACCCACCACCAACTCTTGGGCTACTCTTTTACCAAAGAACAGTGGGATTGACCGTCACATTATAACGCCCTCACGGCTGAAAGGTCGAGCATGTTTGGTGGGACGGGGATTCGAACCCGCGACCCTCAGATTGGCCTAACCACCTGGCCATGCCGGGTCTTTCTTTATGGATATTTGTGGTTACATACAAGTATATATACAAGTGGAAAATGACAAGCTCGTACGTATTCAGGAGTTCACTACTTGATGGAAAGCGTAACAAAACAAGATGAATGAGCTCGTAAGCTATTTCCGACGCATTAACCTAACTTACTGAACGAGAAAAAGACAACCATCACATCGAAAGTAGTTCGTATTTCAGTGATGTAAAAATACAAGACAAATATTTTAATTACCAATAGAATGGCATGTCGGAAATTTTTAATATGGTTTCTTATGATTATCACAGTTTAACGTAATTTAAAAAATGCTAAAAGCTTTGGTACTTTATATTAAGACCATCTTTACGCGTAGAAGAATTACGTGCATAATACATTATAGCGATATACGCCAAATAATACAGCTATGCATTAGTGATGTCTGTAATGCCCGATTAACCTATATATTTTACACCCGTCACTAACGTCTCTAAACTTGACCTCCAAGTACAAAAGTATGTTTTTTTTATAACGAAAATAACAGAAAAATATACTGGCTATTTTGTTGAACTAGTATGTTCCCTAGTAATTTCGCAAAGAAACAAATAACACTGAGCTCCTTTACTTATCCAGCTATTGTATATAACAATGTAATAACTTATGACATATCTTAGGTGCTTGAATAACGTGGCATACTGGTAAAATTATCTATTATTATTCAGAGGAATATCTGGCCATTTAGTTGTTTGTTAATTTCCTTTCTTCAACGAAACGTGAATTTCAGTGAAGACAAAAAAAAAGATGTGGAGGCATAACCTATTAGTTGATTCGCTACTCCTGCTGAAACAGACTAGTTTCACCGAATTCACGGTCTAGTGGTAAGTAATGGACTAAACCAATATCTTAACCAATATGATAATATAGTAAAACTATGTTTCAAGAGTGTAGATATCTAATTATTACATTACACGACAGTAAAAGAAAAAATTATAATTTATTAACTTTTATCAAAAGAATTAAAACCAAATAAACGTCATTATACATCTCCTTTATAAAAACAAATATGCAATTTTTATTGGAATAACAACATTTGTTATATATTTTTCATCAACTTATAAGTTAATTATTTGGTTACGATGTATAGAATTTGCTTACTTTTGGTCACACGTTAGTGATAACTATATTGATTTCAAGCAAACTTAATTTTCATGATCGTACGAACAAAATATTCGTTCTAGAAACGATGTATTGTTTCTAAATAATAATAAAGACCCAGTAAATCTACTTTCACCAAACCTCATAGTGTCAATCTTAACAAGATAACCATCTTAAAGAAGAAATGTGCAATTCTTTTCTTGGTAATTGAATTAAAAACAATATTATTTACAACTGGTTCCATGTGCTGAAGCACAGTTTTACACTTTCTTTTGTCATCTCTTGCCACCTTTCATCTCTGTTTATCCCTACGTTCCTTCTTTCGTCAGTAGGCGGTAAGAAAGTGGCGAAAGACTAATAATAAAGCTTAACCAGATCGATCGCTCACTGAAGCTTGCGTTTCGCCAGTGCAGAGAAAAACTGCTGTTTGACAAAGCTAAGAATACGATATTCGGCCATCGCTAAAGCCCCCTGCAACACATAGAGAAGGTATACATCAAGTGTAGCTCTTGGTTCCTTCCATTAGATAACCAAGCACTGTAACAACTCACTGTAGCAGACAATCTGAGAGACAGATCCAGCAATAAGTTTGACCAATACAAAAAATAGCATAATCTCCAGGTCAGTAAACACTAAAGGTGTAATAGTACTTGATTAGGTGTGTCTGATGTTAAGGGTTAATGCCAAAGACATATTTGAAGTACATTGCACTATTTCACCCCTTTTTTGTTTGTCTTCCAAACAAACTTTCAATCAATTTCTGCACTTATTAAAGAATTCACAATGACG